ATAGAGTGCCCCATTTGTTTACTTAATTTGGCGTCAAATGAAAGGTAAAAAGAAGGGGCGGTGGTGCTGCGAGCACTCAACAATAGCAAGACAATTGTACCGTTTTGCTTTTCATTTGGGCGCCCATGTTGCGCTCGCTTCGTACCGAAAAGAGCAAAGGGCGGCGTCCATAATAATAATAATAATAGTGCACAATCTAGGATACTATTTCAAACCTTTGATTAGTTATAATATTGTGCATGTTTGTTTCATTTCGCTTTATTTTTCGTTTTTTTTTTTTGGGGGGGGGGGGGTTTATAAAGTTATATTTTCTTCACTGTTCCTTTTCGGCTTCTTTGTAAGAGGCAACTTTCTCGTGTGTTTGCTTTCGATCTTGATATGGCTTACATGTCAGCTCAATTTGTCCCAAAATATCTTCTCTTTGTAAAAGGAGTTGACTCTTTCTCCCTTTACAAATGTCGCAAGTGGACTGGGTCAAAACAAGGTCTTTAGAGAGCGGGGTGGGGGGGGCAGACAGACAGACAGACAGACAGACAGACAGACAGACAGACAGACAGACAGACAGAGGGAAAAAAACAAACAGAATCAGCCATTGAATGCATGCTATGTGTTCCACAAAAGGGGAATAAGTGTCAGTCTCTCCTATATAAAATATAATTTTTTTAAAAGATAAAGTAAAATGAAATAAAATAAAGTGAAATGAAATTGAATTGAATTTAATTTAATCAATTAAATTAAATTAAATTAAATTAAATTAAATTAAATCAAATACCACAAAATAACAAGACCACTTTAATTCTCTCAGAGCATATGCAGGGCAATGGGAGGGTTCGTGGCCGAGGTCTACAGCGACCAAGAGAACGAGTTCCTCAAGCAGATGATGAGAGACCACGGTTCCAAGACCATCTGGCTGGGAGCTGACGATCTGATCATTGAAGGGAAATGGTACTGGGCTACCTCTGGCACCTCTGTGGATGAGTACTCTGGTGAGGCAGCGTTCTCTCACTTGTTTGATTTGGCTTACTGTACTTCGGGAAGAGATGCACGGTCTAGTTAGCTTTAGTAGAGGTTTTACGGCGCTCGCAACTACATAAGGTCATATGAGCGCCAGAAGATTAGAGGTGTTACAAGAGAGTAACAAACATAAAAAAGAAGAAGGGGAGAAAAGGACGATAGATGTTTGATAGGAAAGAAGAAGCAGACCACACTAGAGCACCGCCAACCACCCGCTTGCACGGACTGTAACTGAGATGTTCATTATTATTATTATTGTTATTGTTGTTGTATTGTTGTTGTTGTTGTTGTTGTTATTATTATTATTATTATTATTATTATTATTATTATTATTATTATTATTATTATTATTATTATTATTATCATCATCATCATCATCATCATCATCATCATCATCATCATCATCATCATCATCATCACCATCATCATCATCATCATCATCATCTTTTATAGATAATGGTCTATATTTATGGGTTTGAATGTCCCAACGTAAGAAGGGTGGACTTTATCACATAATGTAGATATACCATTTTGATCAAAAGCAGGTTATACATGGCTAACGAGTCAATAAATCTTACACCGGCGTCTGTGGTGTAGCGGTTAGGTGCATCGCTGACGCAAGCAGAAAATGTGGGTTCCATTTCCGCGTGGGGAGGGGTTTGGGTTTTTTTGAAAATTCCCGTCTGTCTCTGAGACGTTGTCTTCCTTTCAGCTCGGGTTGGCCGTGAAAGGCTAGAACAGCCCGCCTCCTAAATGATCTAAATTTTGTCGATTGAGGCGGAAAACATCTACATTTGCAATTACATTCCTGTAAAGAACTCACTGTGGGGGATTGGATGATGCTCTGGTGTGATTCGCTCCTACTTTCCTAACAAACATCTATCGTCCATATCTCTCCTCATTTCCTTCTGTATTTTGCTCTCTAGTAACACCTCTAATCTTAAGCACTATGACTTGTATGACCTATAAGTGTTGCAAGTGCTATTGATCTTATACTAAAACTAAATTTCAAAAACTGACTCAAAAATCAAGTGAATACGGGTAAGTAAAAGATATATTGGAGTGGGGGGGGGGGGAGGGGGGAGGCGACTTATATAGTCTTCATCATTAATATCATAATCATCATGATTGTGATCATCATCATCATCAGTAGTAGTTGTGTCGTTATTGTCTTCACTATCATTGCTGTCGTCGACACCTTAAAATTTTTATTAACTAATAATAATAAGCATAGTAATGAATAGCAATTGTATAGCGCATATCCCCGCTCAACAGCAAGTCCTATGCGCTTTAGATTATACTATTGTAACACAAATGTTATGTCACAATATTCGTATTAGAATAATATCTTGAGTATTGTTTCTCCTGATATTCTTTATTCGGTAAAGATAAAGTTTGGCACCCATCATTTCGAACGCGTTGGGCCTTATGCGGAGACCCGGGGTCACAGGGGGGAGGGGGGGTGGG